TCAAGCATGGCAACAGTAGTGAGGTTGGCCCAGGATTGGGCAGTGTTTCGTTCTGCTGTGCATAAATAAGGTCGCTATGGGTCGGTACTGACTTGATGACACCTAACAACAACAACAAGAAGTTGTTTTTGGTACTGAATGGTACTCTGTTAATTTTCCTAATAAAAGTCCTGGTATGGCACTGTGGGATAAAGCAGTGGGCCACAAGTTCATTTTGGACCACAAGGACAGTTGGTTCAAACTCACCAGCTGCTCCTTGGAAACCGTATACAGAGTTACTGTGAGTTGGAACGGACTTGATGGCACTTAACAACAACTTTTCTAACAAACCCCATATTCGTGAATATTGTCTGTGAGTTCTCTGTGGTTATAGCCACAGATTAGTGAACCCAGCAGAGAAGTAGAGTGTTGTGTGAGGGATGGTTGGTGTCAGAATAGGATTAAGAAGTTTAGAAGGCAGAGGCATGTGTGATCTCAGTCATGTAGAAATTGACCTTGGGCTGATAATTCTCCTCCTCCTCCTTGTGAAGCTGGAGAATGTCACACATGGTCTTCATGCCATTTTTGTGGTGCTGTGGGTTAATGCCATGGACTGCAAGGTCGGGTTGAACCTCAAGGTTGGTGGTTCAAGCTCACCAGCAGCTCCTCAGAAACCCTATACAGGGTTGCTATGAATCAGAACAAACTCTACGGCACTTAACAATAAGAACAACTCAAATTATAGTGCAGGTGATGTTTTATTTTAAAAGCTGGATAGTAAATATGATAGTAAATATTCAACCGTAATGCATTTCAGCTGTTTTTTTAATTTTTGTTTTTCCTTTACTGGTCTATCAATCATTGACTGCCGTATAGATAAGCCTTTGGTAGGCTTAGTTTCCTAAATGAATTTCCAAAAGTTGTTTCTGCTTCTGCATTCACATTGGGATTTCTCTCTGTTTCTCTTTTCTAGATATTTTAATAGGTTCCACATGTGAGCATAAATAGATATTGCATGACTCATTATGAACTCATATCAAGGTTAATTGAAATTTCAGGATATAAGTCATTTTTCTTAGTGCTTACTTCACAAACTTATTTAATTTGACTAGTTATTGACAGTTGCCATGTGTCATTGGCTTATGAGATTCTATGATACTTAACACTCTTTTTCCTTCTTCCAGATTTCCAGGTCCTCCACCAGTCAGCAATGCAGCATCCTCTTATGTCCCATACTCACCTTCTACACAATCGGCTTATCCAAGCCCTGTATCCACTTCATCCATCACTCAACTCGGCAATCAGCTCAATGCCATGCAAATGAACAACTATGGTACAGGCTCCATTACTAGTTTTCCTTAATTGCCTTATGCTATGATTATTTTCAGTGGGAAAGATTTTCTTCATTTAAAAAATAAATGTAAGCGGCGTTCTATATTGAGGTGGTATTCTGGCCATTTTCATATAAACCATTGGTTTTATATATTGAGCTTTTTTTCTTGATCATGCTGTCATGGAGGACCTTCAGAATACTTTTTATGTTCAGTAGCAACACAATAAATAACAGCAGTGACAACAACAAAATGCTGACTTCACAAATAAACGTTGTTGTTGTTAAGTACCATGGAGTCGGTTCTGACGCATAGTGACCCTGCACAGGGTTTCCAAGGCTGTAAATCTTTATGGGAGCAGAAAGCCTCATCTGTCTCCCGCGGAACACCTGGTGGTTTCAAACTGCCGATCTTGAGGTTAGCAGCCCGATTCGTAACCACTACGCTACCAGACAAACATTGCAACAAAGAAATTATTCTCAGAAATATGAGGATAGTTTATTTCTTTTAAATCATGTTTTGTTCTTGTTGTGAATGTGCACAGTAAAACATACACCAGTTTGACAATTCCCACTACAATTCAGTGAACATGAGGGTAGTTTTATTTAACTTTGTGTTGTTTATTAAGGTCCCCCAGTTAAAAATATGACACTCGTTGTTTCACAGTGCACTTTAATTCTGTGTTTAGGGAGAATGAAAAGTCAGACGCCGTGAGGCAGAAACGAGAATAATAGGAGAAAGAGTTACAGTACTGAGATTTACAGCAACAGAAGTGCTGTGTGTTCTGAGAAGCATCGGAATCAGTGCTATTGCTATATGGTCAGCATCTGCTTTAATGAAGAATGTGCCCATATGACTTCAAATTCACTTTTTCAAGTATTAGTTAAACACAGCAAAACAACAACAACAACAAATATCCTCAGAATATTTCTTACCTTTTACTGATTTCAAAAAGGGTAATGTCTCTAAAGATATATTTCAGCTTCACATATTAGAGAAAGGAAAAAGTCATCTGGCTTCGCAACTAGTTGTAAAATGATTAAAAAGGATGTCATCAGCCCATCCTTTGTCCATTTCTACCTAGTTCTGAAGTCCATTTGATGAAGCCATGCACAGGGTGGACATAATTGATTAACTATTTGTTACCCGAGCAAACCTTGATATGTGATAAAGTTTTTCTATGTAATTATGTAATTTTTTACGTTTTTGTACCAGAAATAATTCCTTAATTAATTACATGCACTGTGTAAAAAGTTAAGGAGCTCTGGTAGCGTAGTGGTTACGAATCGGGCTGCGAACCTCACGGTCAGCGGTTTGAAACTACCAGCTATTCTGTGGGAAAAAGATGAGGCTTTCTGCTCCCATAAAGATTTACAGCCTCAGAAACCCTGTAAAGGGTCGCTATGAGTCGGAACCAACTCCACGGCATATAACGACAACAACAACAACATGTAAAGTTAATGCAATTTGAATTACACTGTATACCACTCATTTTCTCACTAAAGCTATAAATGTCACTTTCACCCTTTTAAAATTCTCTCGCTGTATAAAATGCCCCCAAAGAGCACTTATATCACTTTCTGAGGGAGAGTTCATTATGGGGCAAAATACATGATTTATAAGGGAGCCTTCTTGCTTGATGTAAGGGAAACAACTATTCCTGTAGTGTAATTTGTACAAGTTAGGGAGTTAAAAATACTCCATTTAAGTGGGCTGGTCTTCTTTCCCCAACAGGTTCGGGCATGGGTCCCCCCGGCCAGGGGCCCCCTGGCCCTCAATCAGCAGCAGCATTCCAGGGTCCTCCTCGACCTCCACAGCCATCCATCTTGCAGCCTGGATCACAGGTTCTCCCACCACCACCCACTGCACTGAATGGCCCTGGTCCCTCATCCTTGCCTCCACCAATGCACAGGCCGGATGGACTTCCTGGGCCTGCTCCTCTGACTGCCCAGTACCAGCCCCCACCTCTTCCAGGACAGCCCCCGGGCACTGGATATCCTGCACAGCAGGGTAAGGTGGGCAGGGCTCAGAGGAAGGCTTTGGGTCACCTAAAGGCACCCTTTCTATGTTACTAGGCATCTGTTACTTACTTTTAAGGAATGATGGTTTTTTAACAGTGTAGCAATGACAAAGAAAGGGAACCATAGATGACTCACACCTAACTCCTTGTACAAATAGAATACATGAAATAATGAGGTAGATTAATTAAAGAATGAAATAGAAAATATTTAATAAGATAAAACATGCAGTGTAATATTGTCTGGGAGCCCTCTATCTGGAGTTGATAGTCATAGCCATTTCTTTTAAAATTGTCTTCAAGCAGCCAACTATGGTCCTCCGATGGCAGGCACACAGCTCTCCTACCCAGGAGGTTTCCCCAGTGGTCCCGCACAGATGACTGGTCCACCACAGCCCCAGAAGAAGTTGGATCCTGACTCCATCCCCAGCCCAGTAAGTGCTCTCCTCACCCCAGCAATCTCCTTGACAAAGAACTATTCTGTATTCATTATTCTCAGAAACTCATCAGTTGGTTCACATTTATCCTATCTTTTATTTTGAAGAGGTTTGGTGTACCACTGTTGGATAAGCCTGGATTGGTAACTATAATGTCAGTGGTTCAAACCCACCAGCCACTCTTAGGAAACCTTATGCAGGGTTTCTATGAGTCAGAACTGACTCACTAGCACTCAGCAACAACAGTATTCCTCACTAGAGAAACCTTCCTTTATATATGGGATATGTTTGTGGAAAAAATGGAATTACAAGACAATGGTACTTTTCTATGAACTCTTTGAAGTCCCCTCGTGTGTATGTATGGATGGATGAATATGTAAATATGTCTGTATATGTATGTATATATGTGGGAGTCAGAGGGGTCTTCATGAGAGAAACTCTCTTTGTAGTTTTTGTGTTTGCACCATATAAACTGCTTAATGGCTATACCGATTGATGTTTTTGAGTAATTAGCAGTGATAGTATATTCTTTACAAATGCTATTTTAAATCACTGAGTAATCCATTTCAATAAGAGTGAGGTGAAAGGTTTAGTTCATCTCCTTCCATCCCTCTTGAACCTTCTCCAATGTAGATTTCATCCCCGCATCCCCACCAATGTGGTTATTCAGGTCACCGGTAACCTTCTGTTATCAAATCTAATGGTAATTCTCAGATTTCATCTGTCTATCCTGGTGTGGTGCTGTAAGATAAACACTGGACTGCAAGGTCAGCAGTTCAAACTCACCAGCTGCTCCTCAGAAATCCTATTCAGGGTAACTATGAGTCAAAATTGACTCAACAGTACTTAACAACAAATACCTATCCGCAGCAATTTGACACATCTGCCCACTCTGTAACTTCTTAAAACACTTTATTGTTTTGGGGACATCACCATCATTTAAATCTTTGCTTATCCCACAGATGACTCTTTCTTGTCTCTATTGCTGGATCTACATCGTCCTTTGATCACCTGATATATGATTAAGTATTACAAACTTAGACTTTGGGCTCTTGTCTCCATCAGCACTTACTCTCTAGATCAACACTATACAAAAAATGTCCTCCCAAGATGGCACCAGCCTGGAGCTTCGCTTATTAGAAATTCACTGTCTCAGACCTCGTCCTAACCCCAAATCAAACCAGTTCAGACTGCACTGTGCTCCTTAGGGTTTTCAGTGACTGCTATTGGAAGTAGACCACCAGGCTTCCTGAAGTACCTTTGGGTGATTCTAACCACCTGTCTTTTGGTTAGTAGCTGAGGGTGTAACCGTATGCACCAACCCAGGGCATACAGATTAGACTCTCTGAGAGTGGGGCTTTGGAAGCTGTATGTTACACAGTCTCCAGGGAAGACTTAGTCACACTGAAGCGTGAGAAACACCCATTCTCATGCTTTAAATGAGAATGCAGATAATTGTAGTCAAGATGTTTCGCTTGAAGTTCAGGTCTCACCCTTATCTTTCCAGTTCCTCTTGTAAAAATACTTGGGAGTCATCCTTGGTTCTGTCATTCTCTTGATTTTTACATTCAGTGTTTTTAACTAATCATCTTGGCCTTCCATGCTGTATCTCTCCATCCTAGTCTAAACTTTCATAATGCTGACATGACCTATTTCTTCATTTCTCTTAAGCCTGTTTTGCTCATCCTCCATTCCTCTGATACCCTAGCTATGTCACTTCATATCTACTGCACTGATGTTGTTGTTGTTAAGTATGGTAGAGTCGGCATAGCAACTCTGTACAGGGTTTGCAAGGAGCAGCTGGTGGACTTGAACTGCTGGCCTTGTAATTCAAACCAACTGTGCTGTCCAGCGCGTTAGCCCACAGACCATAGCTCATTAGCCCATACCATCTGTACATTTGTTTATTTAGTGCCTGTCTGCCGACTACAGTGGAAGGATTGTGTCTGTGTCTCTGACACCTAGTCCCGGGTCTGGCAAATACTGTGTGCTCAGATACTTGTTGAACAAATGAGTGAATATTAACAATAAAAGCAATAAGCAGTAGATAATGTGATTCAGCCAAGCCCCTTAAAATATAGAAACATAAATCAGCCCAGCATTTATTTTTAATCTTAAAGGTAACAAAATAGCAAGCAATGGCAGATGGAATCTTTTTTGGTTCCTTTTACCAAAGTAGCTTGCTTTGGCCAACTAAATAAATTCTTTCTTCTTTTTATTAGGAAAATTGTTCAGGTTGTTCCTTCATCTGATAAATTATTTTTCATTTCTAATAAAATATAACATTCTAAGCATAAAATGATGACAGTAAAAGAAAAAAACCCATTACTTTGCTGTTTTCCTTTTTTAGATCTGCTCATATAAAATATGCATATTTTATTCAGCAGGTTTTAATAAAGCTATTCTTCATTGATTGTACTATCAGTGGTGATAAACTCTTTACTTCGGAATTGCATTATAAAGTTGTTGGGAAGAAAGATATGGACACACATTGATTTGAGTGCCTGTTACATGCCAGCCCTTTGCTAGATGTTTATTTCAGCCCTTTTGGGTGATGCTGTCTTCTGTTTGTATTTTTTTTTCAAAGTAGGTATACGGGTATCACCATCAGAATTCTTCCTTACTATCTCTAAATCCACAGAGGGGTGATTCAGAAGTTGATCTCTTCCATTTCCCCTTTATTTCTCCATTTCAAAGGTCAAATAATCCTTCCTAAAGCAGCCTTTCTTACTTGTAGGCACACATCTTAACTTCCTCTTTGTTTCTCCCTTCTACGTCTTGTTCCTTTATCATAAGAGAATCACTTTCTATTTTGTCCTCTTGATTCTATTTTATGAATCTAGAATATTCTATTCATAGCAATTAAGTGTGGAAATAATTCTCATGACACATCTTCATGGAAGAGGAAGTCTTACACATTTTGAGGTAATTTTAGCATTATCCAGAATCGCTGTCATCAGTATCAAATTGAATACAGAACTTACAGTCAAAATCACTACTGAAATTTCTGGTAGGCAATAGAAGGAAACTTGAAAAGTCCAAGATTAAAAGGGATTTCAGGAGAAAAGGTAAAGATTCTCTAGGTTACATATTGTAAAATCTTTCTTAATTATTTTTAGCACTTTAGAGTTTATTTTTGTAACTGTGAAAGATGCTTTCTTTTAAAAAGGTGCTTTGATTTTTTTTTTTTTTTTCTTTCAGATTTGCTATTTTTTTGGGGACATAACCAATGGTTGTTGTTGTTGTTGTTGTTAGGTGCCATCAAGTCGATATCGACTCATAGCAACCTTATGCACAGCAGAATGAAACACTGCCCGATCCTGGGCCAACCTCACTACTGTTGCCACACTTGAGTCCATCGATGCTGCCACTTGGCTAATCCATCTCGTTGGGGGTCCTCCTCATTTTTTCGGACCCTCCACCTTACCAAACATGATATCCTTCTCCAGTGACTGGTCCCTCCTGACAATATGTCCAAAGTATGAGAGACAAAGTTTAGTCATCTTGGCCTCCAAGAAGCACTCTGGCTGCACTTCTTCCAAAACGCATCTATTGGTTCTTTTGGCAGCCCATGGCACTTTCAGTATTCTCCAACACCATAACTCAAAAGCATCAATTCTTCTACGGTCTTTCTTATTCACTGTCCAGCTTTCACATGCATACGGGGTTATTGAAAATACCATGGCTTGGGTCAGGCGCACTCTAGTCCTCAAACTCGCACGTTTGCTCTTCTACACTTTAAAAAGGTCTTGTGCAGCAGATTTGCCTAATACAATACGTTGTCTGATTTCTTGACTGCTGCTTCCATGAGTGTTGATAGTTGATCCGAGAAGAATGAAGTCCTTGACAACTTCAATGTTTTCTCCATTGATAAAAATATTTAATGGTCCAGTGGTGTAGATTACATTTACATTGAGATGTAATCCATACTGAAGGCTGTGCTCTTTGATCTTCACCAGTGTATGTTTTAAGTCCTCTTCACTTTCAGCAAGCAAGGTTGTATCATCTGCATATCGCAGGTTGTTAATAAGCCTTCCTCCAACTCTGATGCCACATTTTTCTTCATATAACCCAGCTTCTCAGATGATTTATTTGCTCAGCATACAGGTTTAATAAGTATGATGAAAGAATACAACCTTGTCGCACCACCTTTCTTGATTTTAAACCATTCAGTGTTCCCATGTTCTGTTTGAACAACTGCCTGTTGGTCCAAGTACAGATTCCTTATGAGCACAATGAAGTGTTTCAAAATACTCATACTTCGCAGTGTTGTCCATAGCCTGTCACACAATCAGAAGTGTTTGCATAGTCAGTAAAGCACAGGTAAACATCTTTCTGATATTCTCTGTTTTCAGCCAAGATCCATCGGCAATGATATCCCTCGTTCCATGGCTTCTTCTGAATCCGGCTTGAGCCTCTAAAAGTTGTCTGTCAATGTATGCTTGCAGCCGTTTCTGTATTACCTTTAGTAAAACTTTTCTTGCATGGGACATCAAAGAGATTACCCGATGATTTCCACATTCCATTGGATCACCTCTCTTTGGAATGGGCACAAATACAGATCTCTTCCAGTCAGTCGGCCAGATAGTTGTCTTCCAAATTTCTTGGCAGAGATGAGTGAGTGCCTCCTGTGCTGCCTCACTTTCTTGAAAGATTTCATTTTTATTCCATCAATTCTTGGTGTCTTGTTCTTTGGCAATTGTTTCAATGCACCTTGGATTTCCTCCTTCAGTATCATTAGCTCTTGATCATATGCTACCTCTAGAAATGGTTGAACATTAACCATTTCCTTTTGTGACTCTGTGTATTCCTTCCATCTTCTCTTGATGCTTTCTGCATCATTCAATAATTTGCCCAGAGAATCTTTCAATAATGAAAGTTGAGGCTTGAATTTTTTATTCAGTTCCCCCAGCTTGAGAAATGCTGAGTGTGTTCTTCCTTTTTGGTTTTCTGATTCCAGATCTTTGCACATTTTGTTGTAATATTTGGCTTTATCTTTTGAGATGATTTTTGAAATTATCTGTTCAGCTCTTGGACATCCTCATTTCTTCCATTTGCTTTAACATATCTACACTGGAGGACAAGTTTCAGTGTCTCTTCTGACATTCATTTTGACCTTTTCCTTTTTTCTTGTCTCCTTAATGACTTTTTGCTTTCTTCCTGTATTATGTTCTTGGTGTCATCCCACAACTCCTCTGGTCTTCGGTCTTTAGTGTTTAATGTATCAAATCTGTTTTTCAGATGATCTCTAAATTCAGGTGGGATCTATTCAAGGTCATATTTTGCCTCTTGTGGACTTATTTTCATTTTCTTCAGCTTCAGTTTGAATTTGTGTACGAGTAATTGATGGTCTTTTCAACAGTCTGCCCCTGGCCTTGTTTTGACTGATGATATCGAGCTTTTCCATCATCCCTTTCTGCAGAGGTAGTGAATTTCATTTCTGTGTATTCCATCTGGTGAGGTCCATCCATGTGTATAGTCATGTCTTATGCTGTCTAAAGAAGGTACTGAAATGAACAAATCATTGATTTTGCACCAATAAGTAAATAAAAATAAAATTATCTGAAGAGTCAGGATTAGAGATCATTATTAATTCACAGAATGGAATTTGTGAAACCCTGGGTCTAAAACTGTGAAAAGAAAAAAAAATGGAATGAAGACATGGCAGAGTCTCAATGAAAATTTGATATGAAATGAATTCAGAGATTTATACTAAGCCTGTTATTTAATGTATATACGTGTGAGAGAGAGAATTTTTCTTTTGAGAATATTTTTTTAATTGAATATTTGGAAGCGCTTCAACTTACTTTAAATTTTTCTTGATGTCTTATTTCTCAGATCTATGTGATTGAAAATGACAGAGCCACCAAAGGGGGACAAGTGTATGCCACCAACTCCAGAGGCCAGGTACCTCCCCTGGTCACTACAGATTTTATGGTACAAGACCAAGGTATTTATTATATTTTTAACTGAGGTTTTAAAATTTCTGACCATTTGTTTAAGGGAAAGTTCATTGATACCTTTCAGTAGTGCTGTCACTTGTGGAGAACACCCAATAGCTAAAAATGGGTCTGATTTGCTTTTGATCTCTCAAATACTAAGAAGATACTGTCAACTGAATTCTGTCCCCTGCTTATAGAAGTCTACAGAGTTTCTGGTGATACCTAGTGCAGTGTATCAGTGAGTTTAAGAAAATTATTGATTTTAATTCATGGGATTAAATTTCTTTATGCTCTGACCAATTATGCATTGTTGCCGTAGTTAATTTCAATTCATGGTAACCCCATGTGTGCAGAGTACAATTGTATTCCATATCAGGGTTTTGTAGCTATGACCTTTCGGAAGAAAATCATCAGGTTTTTCTTCTGATGGGCTTTTGTGGGTGGGTTTGAATGGCTTTTGGGTGGGTTTGAACTGTTCCCTGAATCATTAGCATCACCGACAAACTCCAGTACATGCTCCCATTTGCTTTACAACATCTTAGAACACTGGTACGATAGTGGTAGGGAATCTAGCACTTGAAAAGGTTTTAAGCTTGTGTGAGGTTTGTTCACCTCTGTAGGCTTCAGTTTTTCTCTAAAATGTGAGGACCATTATCTGCCCTACAGAGCCAATGTCACTGACCCTGTTTGTGTGTTCAGTTGTAGACTTGCACAGTACCACATTTTTGTTTTTTAGATATCATGGATAAAGGTTTACAAATAAGGCAAATGCAATATCTAAACGTACCTGTAAACAATTTAAATATTTTAGAGAAGATGTTTTCCAGCTAAATTTTAAGTGCTTGCTTCCCTTTGAACATTTCAGGTAATGCTAGTCCTCGATATATCCGTAGCACAACATACTGTTTCCCATGCACATCGGATATGGCTAAGCAAGCTCAGATTCCATTAGCTGCTATCATCAAGCCATTTGCCACAATTCCTTCAAATGAGGTAAGAACAATACGTAACAGTGACTCAATAATTGACCAATTCCAAAGTCATTCTTCCATTGTTATTTTATGAAGCATGATTTTATGTTGTATTCAGAGCACTGGAGTATATTTATACAGTACAAAAACAGCTACTCATTCCATTTGTTAGTGAAGCCAATACCTGACAAGCCATGTTTCTCAAAACATATATACCAAACAGTGATGAGCTGAGTCACTTCTTGGCCTATTATATCCATGCATATGAACAGAAAACTTAGAAAGTTGTATAGTGACAGATGTCAAGGGCTCTAGTGAGGCCCTTATGCTCTAGTTCAGGACCCCCACATCTAGGTGTTATTGCAGCAGGAATACAGATATGAATCCTTGGTCTTACTTGTTAGTTGGTATCTAGTCAGCCCCTCACTCTTGGTGATTCCTACACACAGCATGGAACACTGCATGGTCCTTCATCATCTCCATGATGGGTTACAGATCAGATGCACAGAGTTTTCATTAACTGCATTTCAGAAGTAGATTACCAGGCCTTTATGCCTCGCCTATGTAAATCGTGAAGTCCCACTGAAACCTGTTCAGTGTGATAACCACACACACACCTCCACTGACAGATGGTAGTGGCTGCTTGCGAGGCGCTTTGACTGGGAGTTGAGTCTGGGTTTCCTATATGAAGGAGAGATTTCTACCACTGAATCACCAGTGTCTTCTTGGTCTGGCTACCTCTGCTTTAATAATCACTGGGCCAAGATACTCATAAACTCCTACTTAAAACTGGCATGGAGTTAATAAATCTGTGTGTTGATTTGAAAAACCATAGCCAATGTATGGTTAAATGGAAAAAAGTAATTGTGTACATTGAAAAGATGTGTTATTAGGATTCTGTTAATGGATATGGTAATCAGGATATTCAGAAAAAAACCTAACTCTTCCCTGTACTGCATCCACATCTTCCTTCAGGGCTCCCAAATAAAGGACACCCACATACACACAAGGCAGTGTAGCAAAGTGAGTAAATCAGGAAAGAAAGAAAAGCTGTACTTCTGGCTGGAGCTTTGACTGTAACCCCATGCAGTATTCCAGTCATCGTGAATTCCTGTTGCTGTTCCAAAGAAAAAAGTTCCATCTTTCCCTCCCAATATAAACCTCCTTTTGAGGAAAGGCTGATCTAATGTACTGGCCCCACCTGAAGAGGAGATGGTGTGGCTGCAAGAGAGAGAAAAGATTTTTCCCCTTTGGACTAGACATAGCTATCAGGGGGAAAGGTCCTAAAGAAGGGGAAGAGTAAAGCTGTGGTTAGTGTAGCCTGTTTCATTTCACCCCAAGGAAGGAAGGAAGAGAGTGAGATGGGGTACAAGTGCACAGGCTTTCATTCCCTTTGAGATATCCACTCACTCTATTTAAATGGAGTGGAATGCAGCCATATCTTTTCTGGGGGAATTGAGTCAACTGTATTAGAACAGGGAATGGAGAGACACTGAGCTGTTCCTAGAAGTCATCCATTCATGTAGTATGGTCTCTTATTTGTGAATCAAGAAGTGTATTCAGCATTTGCTTTATTCTAAATCATCTTCCATTTATGATGGCCCAGGCAATTTAATAGACTCTGGGAGTCCTGGCTTGGCATGGTGGGTTAATGTGCTGGACTGCAAGGTTGGTTTGAACTTCAATGTCCATGGTTCAGGCTCACCAGCAGTTCCTCAGAAACCCTATACATGGCCTCTATGGTTCAGAACCAACTGGATGGCACTTAACAACGACAACATTTTTGCATATAACACACTCATGTAAATAATAAGCTCTCACATAGCAGGCATAGAAAACCTAGTGAATGAGGGGATTTCTTGGTTTACAAAAAAACCCACAAAACTCTATAATGCATTTGTGTGAAAATACAATAATCATCGTTAGCTCATCTTTAAAATAATTATGCAAAATAAGGTAGATCAGTATGTATTCACAAAGAGATATATACTCTATTAAATATGTATATGCTTTTAAAAAAAACTAGAAATGTGTTTTAGGTATTTTTCAACATTTAGATGAAAAATTTCAAACAGAAAAGTTGAAAGAATTTTAGCGAACATCTCTATATCTGGCATCTAGTTCTATCAATTGCCTTTAGCTATCCTTGGTTTTGGGAGTATAGTGGCTCTAGAGGATAAGCACTGGACTGCAAACCGCACAGTCAGCTGTTCGAGCCCACCAATTGCACCTTGGGAGAAAGATGAAAGTTTCTGTTCTTGCAAAGATTTACAGCTTCGGAAACCCTGTATAAGGTTCTATTGTGCATCAGCTCACCCTGAGAAGGGGGCCTACTCCATGACAGCACTTTATATTGATAAGACAAACATATTGTAACTAGATATACCAATTTTAAGGTGCATGTAGATTTCAGAAATATGAGACATTGAAAATGCGATTCCTAAAATGGAGGAAATATATATATTCATGTATATATATATATATATATATATGTCTGAAAAATGTTATGTCTTTGATTCATCTTCTCTCAGGGAAATAGCTTGCTGTAGATGTGTATTCTCCACCTCAGTCAGTTCTGTGCTGACTCTTTTTATAGTGATCTGCAATTTTCATAACCAGAAGAAAATGAATTTCTGGCTTTGAAAGAAACCCATAGCATATGTAAAATAATCTAATACTCTAGCCAGCAACCCTGTTGTACATCTGTGCAGAATATATGGAATTTTTGCCAGTGAGCAGTGTCAGTTTGGGTGTACCTTTTCCATGGCAGTGAGTTTACACTAGCAAATTCCTCTCCTTGACCCCTCCCCATGCGACAGCTGAGCTGGGTCAAGTATGCATGAAACAGAGTAAGACTCAACAGTTGTTCACACCCAAAGCTTGAACCTGTAACCCTCCTCTTATCATCATTTGGCATTAACCATGAAATTATTACATATCACGTTTTTGAAATTGTAACTTAATGTTTAGTTTTTTGGTTATAAAATATTTTCAAATATTAGTACAAGTCACCCCTTTCTACCACCCCACCTCCACAAACGCTTATACATATCACTTTATGTTTTCCGTAGTTGTTTGTATTTTAATCAAATGCTGTCTTCCTACCACCGTGAAGTTTTTCTTTAGTGCAAACCTGTATTGCATATTGTTTTCTGTATTTCCCAAGGTAATAAACAGATAAGGTTAGAATAATGGTTTATTTTGGGAATCTGATTTAGGGGAAAGCTGTCCTTGAGAAAAGAATACACTTTGTCCTTTTAATATTACACGAGACTCTGCATACTTACCAGATAACTATATTTTGACATTAGTATGAACCTGGTATTGTGCTGTAGGATCAGCACTGGATTGCAAAACCATAAGGTCGGCAGTTCAAACCCGCTAGCTGCTCCCTGGAAGCCTTATATGTTGTTGTTGTTAAAGTGCTGTCAAGTTGGTTCCAACCCATAGCCACTCTGTATAGGGTTTCCGAGGAGCAACTGGTGAGCTTGCACTGCCAACCTCGCAGTTCAAATGGCTTTGCAATCTGGCACATTAACCCACAGCGCCACACCAGGACTCCAGAAGCCCTGTATAGGGTCGTCTATAAGGCTGTTCCTCAGAAACCCTATACAGGGTCGCTGTGGGTCAGAACTGACTTGATGGCACTTAACAACAACAACAACATATTGCTGTTCCCACAAAGATATACAGCCTCTGAAACCCTATACATAGTCACTATGAGTTGGAACTAACTTGACAGCACTTACTAACAACATCATGATTTCTGTTCAGACTTTCTTTACAGAAAGTTCTTTTTTCCTTAGACCTTCAATGAACAGATTATTTTTAATAAACCAAGGCTTTGAACCAGTTTGAGCCAGTTCAGTCATGACCAACACAGTAAAATCAGAACAGATCTGCAAATTTAAAATTTGGGTGAAGTGATATGGTAACCAAACCAGAGAAATTACAGGCCAAAGTCCTGGAGTGGGAGATTCAGAAGAGGTGTAATGAGCCATTTTCAGAGGTTGAGGCAAGAGATTGGTTGTTGGCTTGTTGCCAGGACTGGAAAGAGTGGCTACATTCAACGTGGTGCAGTTAGCCACCATGTTTGAGCAGGATACTGTTGTTTCCGACTCTGCCAGTCAAGAGCTTTGATTGCTAGGCAGTGTGTCGTTGTTTTCTAAGAGGGAGATTAAGTTCCTAGAAGGGTGTCAACCTGTAATGTTCCTCACTCTGGTTATCATTCCAACACCACCCACATTTTACAGATTTGTGTCCGTTCCTGTTTCATTTTGTTGACAGTGACTGAACTATTTTGAAGTCATAGAATATGCTATGGTTAGGAAGGAGTACTGTCCCTTATATGGCAGTATTAGAATGAAGACATTGCTTATTTAAATTACTTTCTTTTATTTATCTAAACAGACTTGGAGACAAAAATAAAGATTGTGAAAGGGATGTGCTAATACCAGGAAGCAATTCCCTAGAGAGTGTAATTTTTTAAAAGAGCCTTTCTTCTTTGCATAGATTGTTGTTGTTAAGTGCTGTCATGTTGGTTCCAGCTTACAGCTACCCTGTAAAGGGTTTCTAAGGAGTGGCTGGTGAATTTCAACCGCTGACTTTGTGGTTCAAACCAACCTTGTGATCCAGTGCATTATCCTGCAGCACCACACAGAGATTAACAGGACCTAAATTTGGGAAGCTCTTAATTTTAGCTAACTTTATAAAGTTTGTATGTTGAGTATGTTTGAGTGTACTCGACGGACTTCTCTGGTGGTTTGCGTGATACTGATGTATTTACTCCTACCTCACAGGCTTTTGTGTTTTTGTGAGTCCCCTTTGTTGTTTTCTTGACTCTAAAAGATCCTTCTTGGTCTAGTAGGTTAAGCCATTGGAGAAAGATGAGGCTGTGTACGCCTATACAGCTTTGCAGTCTGGGAAACCTTAAAGTGCAATTCTACTTTGTCCTGTAGGGCCACTAAGAGTCAGACTTGACCTGATGGTAGTGGGTTAAGGCACTTGGCTTGCCAAGCAAAA